TGTTTAGTGCTGGTCTCTGGGCTCTGCTCCTGCTGTTTCTCATGCTGTATGCCAGCGTCTCTCTGCCAGGGTCTCAGGTCAACGACACACTCCACTTCTGTTTCTACATTTTAGGTATCTGTCAGAGCAGCACCCCACTTCAGGTACCTTATTCTGTTCTGGTTACCTACTGCTGCTGTTTGAGTGGCTAGGCAGCTGGATGTAGTATTCCCTATGATGAGACTGGAAACCAACTCCATGGTGGCATCTACCACAAGCAGCTGAGTAGCTGCTTTGGGTATGTGGTCTGCTTCCCGTATATAAGAAACAGCTTTGGGAATGTTCACTAGCTTATTGCACGCTTGAACCCTGCAGGTAGCTGTATCATTGTTCACCAGCCTGCCATGCTCTGCTGACCTTGGGACTTCCAATGGACTTGAATTAATGGCCTGCAGTGTGGTTTGGTAACATCAGGACTGTGCCATTTTATTTGTTGACCTTGGGCTTATTAGCCTCAGCAGCCAGTAGCTGCCTAAGTGACATATGCTACTAGCTTTAGTGGGCTGGGAGCAAGAGGCAGAGCTGAAGCCCGAGATCAAGGAGATTTCACCCAGCCCCTAGAGCCTGGCACTTTGAACTCGGACTTAAAGCCTCCAAACTTTAAGAGAATAAACTCCTGTTTGTTCAAGCATCCCGTCTGTGGTATATTTCTGTCAGAGTGGCACTAGGTAACCAAAACAGTTGGGCTCCCTCTACCTCAGTCTCCCCATCAGTAAAAATGGGATAAGAATACTATCAGCCTATAATTGATAGTGAGGATTAAATGAGTAACATCTGTAAGTGCTTAGCTATTACTATTATTCTTCTCTCATCTGATTCATTGTGACCCACTTTCCTACAATTTGTGTGTAGAAAGGCAGGAAAGGGGATCTATGTAGAACCAAAGCTCTCTACTTCCAATGCTTCCAGACATGCCCCTTCTCCCCGCCACACCCCATTCCTGAGTACATTTCCTTCTCTGTTACCTTTTCATCCCAGGAAGTTCCAAGAAGGGCAAACAGGACAAGTTGTGATTCTTAAGTTTACTCCTCTCAATTTCTAGACCAGTGGTTTTTCAAATGGTGGCCTGAAGAGCCCTGGGGTTCCAAGAACCCCCCACTGACTACAGAAACTAAGGATTGACTAAGAAACATCCCTTAGCTTACTTTTATCTGTTTAAGTTTCCTTTCAAGATTCTGTTTGAACAAAGGCTTCCAAAACTTTAATCCCCGTTCTAACACATTGAAACGCCCAGATTTTACAATTCTATGCCCTGGTCTTTTGGCCCCATTTCCAAGAGACTTTCTCTACTCCATTCAAAGAGTTTGTATACTTTTCTGTACCCCACCCCCTGCCCCAAAGTTTCAGATATTTATTATTCAGGGTAAACCCCAACACAGCACACCAACATGATTTCATGCATTTAGGGTAGGAAAATATTTAAATGGAATACTTAAATATTGTTTAAATGGAAAACTGTGTGGATGGCTTCTGGAAGAACTTCATTCTAAGCAGCTCTATAGGGAAACGTATCATTTACCAGCCACAGCCTTCTTCAGTTTGCTGTAATCGATGTTCACTGATTAGATCTTGTATTGACCATTGGGACCCAGTTTGTCCCAACTGACACCTGGCTTAAAACAATGCCAGGCACACAGTGCTGCTCCAGTTCTTCAAACTCCAATGAATACAAAGAGATATTAAGCTCAGGTGCTTCTCGGCCTGACTGAGCATCTGGTGGGGCATGTTAGCAGCAGAGCCCTTGGGTCTGGAAGGAGAGAACAAAGTTAGCAGGCCCAGGGTTTAGCACTCTCCGCACCATGGCTCTCTTTTCTGGTTTTGGTGCTTTAAAATAGATACATGAACAAGAGAACACTTGTACTTATCTGAGGCCTCTTTCCCAGAAGCTCAGTATACTCAGCAAATATTATCTCCTTAATTCTCAGGCCCCTGGGGAAGATAACTACAACACTGTTTAATTATAGAGACATTTGAAGGCAAGTGACTTTTATTGGCATCAGATCCAGCCACTGAAGTACATCTAGCTCCTAAAATGCAAGATTACTAGAGAACTACCCATTCTGATGCTCCTGGGCCAGGCCTGATCCAAGTGGTTGCTGGGCAGGAGGGAAGCAAGGTAGTAGAAGCTGTGCCGGGACTGATCCTCAGGGGGGTGTGTTCATCAAGTGGAATTGGCTAGGGGAGAGGAAGGCTGGGGGCAATACTAACACTACAATAAACAAACTCACTGCATTTGAGTCGATTCTGACCCCCACGGGGTTTCCAAGGCCGTAAGTGGCTGGTGGGTTTGAACCACCAGCCTTCTAGTTAGCAGTCAAGTGCCTTAGGCACTATGCTACCAGAGCACTACAATAAGTCAACATAATTTCTTTATGCAGTTCAAGGCATTTGGCAGAGAGGCTAAAAGCCCATTAAGAGAACAAAAGCCCAAATCCCCAGACCTTTCCTTGCAATCCCAGATTACCACATTGCTCTTTCCCACACTTCATTTGGGTCTTTGCTCAAATGTTACATTAGAACGTCCCTAAGACCAGGGCAAGAGAGGCTGCTACCTTGAACTCAGAGTTCTCTGGCCCTCCTCCAGCCACCCTTTTTTCTACCAAGCAAGGAGTCCATGGTCCAATGGGATGTGCCCACCTACAACACTTGCCCCTCCCTATACTTCTACTATATTGTAGCTAACTAGAACCCTTGAACTCACTTCCCTAATAGCACCAGGCCAGCTTCCAGAGATTGCATGGGCCTCTTCCCAGGGTTTATGCTCTCAAGGGGCCAAGAAATGGCCAAGGGGAGGCTATTTGCAGGAGGTGTGGAAAGAGCTGGCATGTGATGACAGAGGTGTTACAAGTGTGGGCCCAAGGACACTTAACATGTGGGACAGAGCTGGGGTACAAAGAGAAAGGGGAAGGCGAGGGCTGGGACCTAGTTGCCTATGCCAAAGCCACAGCTGTCCAGTACTCATCTGGAGAGAGTTCGAGAATTATAAATTTAAATTTGGCCTTTCAGATTATTAGGCATCAGTGTAAACAGACTTGACAGCAGTGGTTTGGTCCTTTGGTTTTAGATACTTACTAGGATAAAACTCAAACCAAACCCATTGCTGTCGAGTCTATTCTGACTCAAAGTGAACCTACAGGACAGAGTAGAACTGTCTCCATAAGGTTTCCAAGGCTGTAAATCTTTATGGAAACATAATGCCACATCTTTCTTCGTGGAGCAGCTGGTGGGTTCGATTTGCAGAACTTTCAGTAAGTTTCAGCCAAGTGATTATCCACTGCACTACCAGGGCTCCTTGTATAAAAGGATAGAAATTTTAAATAACAGCTTCTTTACAATTTTAAAATATGCAAACATACGGGATGTGGACCTCTGTTTGTACTGTTACCCTCAAACCAAACCCAACTCATAGCAACCCCCATTGGGTTTCCAAGGCTGTAAATCGTTATAGAAGCAGACAGAAGCAGACTCATCTTTCTTCTACAGAGCAGCTGGTGGGTTTGAACTACCAACCCTTTTGGTTAGCAGCCAAATGCCTTAACCCTAGACCCTGCAAATATTAGGTGTGGGTCTTTCTCTGACCACTCCTCTCTCACGTTATTTCTTCATAACATTTATCACCATCTAACACTGGTCTATTATCTCTATCCCAACTAGAATGTAAGATCCATGACTGTAGATACTTTGGTTTTGTTTCCTGCATATTTTTAGTACCTAGAGCAGTGCCTGGCACACAGAAACCATTCAGTAAAGGATGTGTGAATGAATAAATGAATAAATGGATAACACATCTGGCCTCAGAGCACTTACAGGTGATGTGGGCTAACCCAGCAGACACAAAGGATAAAGATCACCCTCTGAGAAGCACCTACTACTCTTAAAATAACTTACATCCTTAGAGCTACAAAAAGTGGCCAGGGGAAATCCACTAGCACTTTACCACATGTGAACATAAGATCAGTTGAACAGGTTAGTTGTGAGAGAAACGTTTGCGTATAGAGAGCTGTGAGCAGCCTGGGGGATTAGATGTGGAAGTTGGTGGGAGAGGCTGGTGGAGTGGGAGGAGGTGGCCCAGGCCACTGAGAACTCCACTGAAGGAATAGGGCATACAGAAGGAATGGCCAGGAAATGAAGACCAGGTTTTTCTGAGGGCAGGCACAGGGCTGAAATATACACACTCTAACAATCTTATTAGGGTGGCCAGACTTAGGTGCTAGAGGGAACTCTGGCTCTGTGATTATGGTCTCCAGGATCCAGCATAAGTTAAGGTGGGGAGATGGCTGCTTATCTGGATCGGGTAAGCAAGTAACATTTACCCTTTAGCTGATCACAGGCCCAGGAGGAGAAGGCACATTTGATCCCTGAGGGGTTATAGCGGTCATAAACTCTGGATGTCCTAGCCAGCTAAGGCCAGAAAGTCATTACCAATAGTCCCTCTTTTCTACCACCTGCTTCCAATTCACAAAGTCCTGCTACTTTGTGGGATCCCCAGAACTTGTCTGGACTACCATAAATCGGTATAATTTATTTTCCCCGTTGGATACGAAGGCCGCCAAATAACCTCCAGGTCACGTGCAGAGACCAGAGTCGTGGTCAGGGCCTCTGTCCACCGCACGCCCCACTATTTTCATGAAGTTGGGGGGAGTATCCAGGGATTTGGCTGCGCTCTCAGCCTCCGGTGGCCTGAGGCAGAGACCGGGCCACGCGGCTCTGAGTCCTGGACAGATTTGAGACCTGGACGGATCTGAAGAGCAGGTTTGCCACGCGGGACCAGGCTTTGACACACCGCTCTTGCCCCCGCCCGCCCAGGGGCTCTGGCTCAGATCAGCCAGGGCGGGAAGTGGACCGTGCCGCTGCGGTGGGCGGGGCCTGAGGGGCGGAGCTACGTGGCTCCTCCTCGCGGGCGGAGGCTGGAGGCGCCGTGGAGCAGCGGCGGCACCAACTCGTCGGAAACTTAAGTGCGGTGGTTGGCCTAGAGCGCAGCTGCCGAGGATGGGGAGGCGCGGCCGCTGCTCAGCAGCCGCGGGCGGAGGCTCGGGACCACCGCTGCCGCCGCTGCTACTGCTACTGTTGTTGCTGATGGCGGTGCCCGGCGCGGGCGCGGCCCCGCGCTCGGCGCTGTACTCGTCCTCCGACCCGCTGACGCTGCTGCAGGCGGACACGGTGCGCGGCGCAGTGTTGGGCTCCCGCAGCGCTTGGGCAGTGGAGTTCTTTGCCTCCTGGTGCGGCCACTGCATCGCCTTCGCCCCGACGTGGAAGGCGCTGGCCAAGGATGTCGAAGGTGAGAAGCCGGGACGGCCCCTTGCTCCCCCCAGGCCGACTTTCTCCACCTGCCCGGCGGAGGGCTCAGAGCTCTGGGCACACTGCCCCCTTTCCATCACCTCTGGATTTACTCCCGCTTCCTCTCTGCCTGCCCCATACACCCCCTCCCCCCAGTTTCACATCCTCAACTCCATTTTTGGCTTGGGCCCCTTGTTTTCTTCTTGGCCTGCATCCGGAGCTTATCTCCCCTCTCCGCGGCCGGGCCCCCCACCCCGACCTCCTGCTCTACTCTCCCTGGCCGCTCGGTCTCCCTGTAACCTCGATCTGAGGGTGACGATGGGGATCTCCTTTGTTCCCTCTCATGGCCCACGGACACCTTACGGGCTTCCTCTAGTTCAGCCTTGTGTCAGTTCCCTTCCTCTCGCCAGGGACTTGTCTCCTCTTCCTGCCGAGTTCTTCAGATGCTATGGGATCAGTGCTGGGAAGACAAGAAAACTCATTCTGTCGTCTCCACCATTATCTTTCCCCACCCCTCAGTTATTGACACATCTGGTGCATAGACTTCCTTTGTGGCCTCATCTTTTATCTTTGAGATGATTACATTCACCTGGCAGAGTTTTCCTGTCTGTTCCAGGCCTCTCCAGGCCTTCTGCCTAAAGGTTTTACACCATCTCCTCTCTCTTCTTGTCCATTCACCTTCTCTCAGACCCTTCTGTTTTAACCCGGTGAACCCAAAGGCCTAATGGAAGGCAACTTCTTGGTGTTTGTTTGGTCCTCACTCCCAAAAACGTTCCCTTTCCCTGGCCTGAATATTGAGGAAAATTTCTTATTTTCTTGATTCTAAGACTCTATCAATTGTGAGACACACCATTCATTTAATGATAGCCTGAGGGGTAGAAGGATAAGAAAACCAAAGACAGAGTAGAACTGCCCCTAGGGTTTCCAAGACTGTAAAGCTTTACAGAGGCAAACTGCCACATCTTTTCTCCTGTGCAGCAGCTAGTGGGTTCTAACTACTGACTTTTCTGTTAGCGGCCTAATACATAATTTATGGTTAAGAAAACCATACATGTGTATAGATTTTAATATGCACTCTATTACATAAATGTTATTTTATATATATATATATATATATATATATATATATATATATATATAGGTATATAGGTATATAGATATATATAGTAAGAAGAGTAAAAAGAAAATGTATTATCATGGTAATAATAAACAAAACAAAAAAAACCCCAATATTACTGAGTTAGACACTGTACTGATAAAATACCGGCATGTTATCTCAGAGTTTTCTTTCACAATTTAAAGATTTCTGATAGTGTCAAGTATTGGCTGAGCTTAGATAGTGGGTAATTGAGGGGCAAGAACAGTGTCGTAGGTAGTAAATGATTTGCTTCTGGGTTGATTGTTCTAAATGGAACTACTTCCTGATATGGTGCTAGGTCCCTATTCAAAATGGTCATTGGATAAGGACTGTGAGTATCTTAGAGAACAGGCTTCTTTCTGGAGAATGAAAAACTGGAACCATTCTTGTTCCTTTGCTATGCTATTGGTATTTCTTGATAAACTCATCTCATTTGTAGATGTTGGTTTTCAAGCTCAGCCTACCTCTTTCCTTGGATCACTTGCAAAGTGATGACTGAAGTGGCTAGGTGTGTGTGTATCACTTAGCCATATGGTTCTGGAAAGTTATTTTAAAATAAAATGTGTACCCTGCCAGCCAGGGGGACTGCACGGGCTGTGCACGGTGGCTGGGGAACAAACGGAGAAAGTGAAGACAAAGGTGGGCTGAGATGTGGACTTTTGCCAGTCTGGAGGGTGCCGCCATTTTGTAGGATTAAAAAGCAGCTTGACTGTTTTGGATATTTAAAATAAAATGTGTAAACCATCTTACCTCCAGTCTCTATGTAGACACTTGCTCACACATTTCTCTAGTCTTATCACCTGAATGCACCCTCTCTGAGCAGCTCTTCACACTATTTCAATGATGACAGCTCATGGTGGATCAAGGCAGGAAGGGCAGAAGAATGTCAGACATGGAACTAGAGCACCTATGGGAGATAATCTCAAGGGACACTATAGACTTGAACATCATACAGATTCCTAGGTCAGTTTTTGCTTTGGAGCTACAAAAAACAAAAGCAAACTTACTACCATCGAGGCAGTTCTGACTCATAGCAACCCCTCCTTGGATTCCCGAGGCAGTATCTACGGACATAAATTGCCTAGTCTTCCTTTCGAGGAGTGGCTGGTGGGTTTGAACTGCCAGCCTTCTGGTTAGCAGTCCAATGCCTTAGGCATTACACCTCCAGAGCTACAAGGGGTCTTAAATGGCCAAAAGTGGACTCATTCTAGAATGATTCCTCTTCTATCTTCAGAGTGCTGGAGGGAAAGATTGGATTCCACTGGACTCACTTGTTTGCCCTCTTGCAACCCAGAATTTTCTTATGAATTGTACACCCAGATACTAACACAGCCTGCTCCTGGATGAGAGTTGCCACTTCCAAAAGGGATCTTTCTTCAATGCATGGAGTGATAGTCCTTCCCTAAAAAAGCAAAAACAAAACTTCACCTCTGAAAGGAAATGGAAGCATCAACATCTGTCAAGATGAACCAGTGGAAATTTAGGTGGAAACTGGGGGGGTCTTCCATGAGCAATGAGGATTAGTCAGCCTCCTGAATGGGATCATGTTGGGGAAGGATACTGGCAGAATCTGGTGCTGGGGTTTACAGTGAAGAGTGCCCTCCAAACCTAGTCTAATGTGAGATTTCCTGGTGAGGACTTGCTAAGAAGCCAGGGGCTATCCTCTGAGATGGCTCTAACCTCATCTCTGTATTCTGAAGTTCCTTGAGAAAGTTTGGTTGTGGGGTGGCACAGGGCTGCTTTCATGCCACCCTGGGCTTGTGGGAATGTGGCACGTACACTCTGCTGCTGGTAGGGAACACTTTGGGTTGGCCATTTGTTTCTAAAGACCTGGCTCACCCCTTTCTATTCAAGAGCAGCTTGTTATCTCCCCATATGCTGGGAAATTTCAAGTGTTCAGTGTAGATCTTCATCACTGTTCACTAGGTAGCTAATCAATCAGCAAATATTTGTTGAGTGACCTCTGTGTGCAGTGCATTGTTTACATTGCAGCTGGGGAAATGAGCTGCATACAGCAGGAAGATTGGCAACAGACAGAAGCTGTGTTTGAAAAGGGCCAAAGGAGTGGTTCAACCATTTCTTTGGAAATTTTTTGTGCAATTTGGGTGAAAGTTTACAGAACAAGTTAGTTTTCCACTCAACAATTGATAGATGTTTTGTCTCATGACATTGGTTGCAGTCCCCTCAGTGTAACCGCATTCTTCCCACTTCCTGCCTAGGTCCCCTGATTCCATTCATCCTTCTTTCCTGCCCCTTTCTGCCTTCTAAGCTTTGTTTTTTGGGCAAATGCTGCCATTCTGGTCTCTTACGGTTGATTATACTGAGGAGTATGTTCCTATCTTGTGTTAATATTCACTTTATAGGCCTGACTCTTGTTTGGCTGAAAGTTGATCCCTGGGAGTAAGTTCAATTCCAGACTTGATGGGTGTCTAAAGGCCATAATCTCAGGAGTTCCCAGTCATCAGTCTCTATCAGACCAGTAAGTCTGGTCATTTTTTTTTTAAATTAGGATTTGGGTGAAGATTTACAGAGTAAATTCACTTTTCATACAGCAGTTCACATATACTTTGTCTCATGTCATT